AAAAAAAAAAAAAAAAAGAAAATAAAAAGAGGGTGCTTCAAACTATTACCAAAATATTTCCATATTGCGTCTGAATCTATTTCAACACCCATCTTTCTAGGCCGTACAAGAAAAACTGCACAATATTCTACAATGGTTCTGCCTGTTTTTTGTGACGAACACATGCATGAACTTCGAAGTTCATGACAAATGCCACTGTGTATATTTATCTATTAGTTTATAAACTGAAAAAAGATTAATTCGAAAATAGTTTGTTTGAATTTTCCACGTAATTTACGGTCTTATGATGTAATAATATTTAAATCTGACCAACGTAAGCATAAACTTTAAAAACAATTATATAAAAGTTTGTGCAAAATCATTGAGATTGTTGCAAACTTTAAATGTATACAACTTGTTAATAACTCTACAAGCTCCTAATCTCTTAGCGTTGATACTCACATTGGTGTAGAGTTGATCGCCGTTGTACTGTGTGCGTTGTCGTTTCGCTTCCTCTTCGTGAATAGCCCGTTCGTTGATTCCTCGACCATCGTTGTTGGCTGGAAAGACAAGTGTAGAAAAAAAATACTTTAATGAAGCCTGGATTATGAAAGGAAGTTCATTTGCTTGCGTTAGAACGGCTGAACCGCTCCAATTAATGATCACAGCAGGCACTATGACTAGCCTGTAGGCTAATGTGAAATGTGGTGACTAACGGTGAGGAAACATGGAACATTAACCAAGTCTCGTGGAGGCTGCTTTGAAAGAGTTGAAAATTGTAACTATTCTTTCTCCGTTACTTCTTGAGTTACTGCTTTGGTGTGGCATCAACTTGCTAAATTTCCTACAAGAACTTACCATTACATCATATTCAAACACAGTTATGTAGACTTTAAATGATGTTGTGTGTAATTAACAGCTTCCCCTTACAAAAACTACAAATTGATAATTATTATCAACCTTTACTAAATTTTACCTCTTGTATGTTGTTCCATATTAACAAAACATTCTTAAGACACTGAGCAACGTTTTGTTTAACTTACTGTCATATACTTGTCTAGTAATCATAACATTATAGTTCTCGATAAGTGAAATCAATTTTTATTACGGTTCCTTTTTTTTTGTGTTGTCTTCTTCTACTCTTTCGAGTGGAATACGTGAAATACTGATATCAAAACATTTTATCGTAAAACTTTTACTGCAAATGCATATTAATTAATTAATTTCCATTCTTAAGTCGCAAATTACTGGTCATGGAGACCCAGGGATTTAAAATGTCAATGTATTTAACTATTTTTATGTTATTTATGTTGTATATTGATCTTATAATTCATTATTCACATATGTGTCAAGTTATACATTTGCACTTTGTATCTAGTTTCCGATGCAGGCCGTTTAAATGTAATTATTTCATGAACGAAACTCTGTAGATTTTAAATAATGAACGCAGCAGTTGTTTGCGGTGTATTTTATCCATAAGTCTTAATATATATATATATATATATACCTTAATATTTGATCATCTGTTGAATGAATATAAATTACCTTCCGTTTCGCTTCAATAGAAGACAGTGATTGCATTCTACGTACTTGTATCATCCAATTTTTTGCATTCCTTCCGTAAAGCCCACCAGTGACACAGCGCTAGAAACCGGGTTTCGATACCCGTGGTGAGCAGAGAACAGATAGCCCATTGTGTAGCTTTGTGTTTAACTTCAAAATAACAACAACCTTTCGTAAAAAAAAGTTATTTCTAACCAGATATTTTCTTTAGTTTATTAACATACAAAGTAACATGAAGATGTATCTCTCATTATTGCTAGGGTTTATTTGCAAACAGATGCCAAATGGTGGAAACACAAGTATATATTAAAATAACACCGTATTATGAAGTCATCTACATTGTGTAAATAGAGCTGTTTAGCATTTTATATTTGCAATTTCTTGATCTTTCTACAGAGTCCCCCCACCCTTTTTTTAAATCGATCAACATGCTCTAGCCTTTTCAACAAATTTTCCATGCGTAACGTACACCAAAAGGGAAGCTAAATTCGTCATCAACTTTGAAGGGGGTGGGGGTAAGAGAATGAGAGAACAGTGTAAACTTAATAGACTGTAATGCGTTTTCAATCAAGCCTCATCTAAACACTATCTTTGCCCTCCGTATACTTAGGTCTAGTACCCAGTTAAGCTTGCAAAGCCTTGTTATTGACAAGGGCAGATGAGGTACATTGTTCGATCCGACTCCTACTGGGCCCAATCTGGTAGAGTGAAAACATAATGTGTACACGATCGAGCCTCACGCTTCCTCCCATGGTCAGGGTGTTGGGAGTTTAAATCATAAAAGGGCTTTTGAGACAGGCAATTCAGGTACCGATTATCGTAATCATAGTTATCAGCCTTGGTGCAGATACAACACTTAGAGCTTCATGTAATCGTATAACGAAGTTTCATCGTGTTGGCAATGGTTATTTAATGGATTCACTAGACTAGCACAAAGACTTATTACACTAAAATAATCAAGGGGGTTGTGAAAAGTCATGTTACGAGTTCTGTAATAATAATATGTATTAAGGATCTATCCATTCATCGAAGTATTATGTTATCCTGCAAAAACGTCTTAATATAGGATTTCTGATAGTATAGTTGATTCCGACGCTAAACAGAGTACAATGAACATTTCTCTTCAAATATAAAAAAAACAACACAGACTGCTACTAAGATCATGCTCCACTTTTTTTCTGTTTTTAGCTTTATATTGTATTTCACAGAAGAGAACTTTGATAGCTCAGGAAATTGCACGTTGACTTTGAAATGCATATATTTTGGTTTATCACTTATAATTTGTACTTTTGCTATCATGGGTTCTGATTTTCTTACCTTTGACAGTTCTAACAAGCAGCATAAATATATAAAAAACATACACTAAAAATGTACAGGAAACTTAAAAGCATCAGACCAACTTTATCTATTAATCAAAGTCATGACTTATTTCTTCTTAAGGACCAATACTCTATTCTTTTTTCTTGTTTAACATATCCATTTTCATATTACATCTTTGCTCCTTGTTTATATAACTTGGTTCTTTTTTTATATCACATCGTTAAATAGCTTATCTATTTACTCTAACTTGCATGTTTTTCAACATGTAAATTGTTTTAATTAGATGGAAATACTAGAGACGACATTAAGATATCTACAGTCTTGTGGGTTTAACCCCATCGCTATTCCATGTGTAGGTCTTCATAATGAAAGCTCACTCACTCGAGCCACAGTCGGAATCCGGATGAATGTAGTCATTGAAACTATATGTAGCATTAATGCCCTGGTGGTAGGTGTATTCTCTGAATGCAAAGTCACTTCACCTCAATTAATACCTTGCTTGTACTCTAGTGGTATTAACTTTAATACTTTCATAAATGACACTGAATGTCAAACATCACCTGCTATGAATAAAGCATATAGACAAAATGAGGCCTTCGGAAGCGTTGAAGTGGGTGACGTTTTGATAACGAAAACATTGGTTGCAGAACAACCAATAATCGAGATGGATGTGGTACACACTGTCATACCAAAAATAAATCAGCACCATCTTAATAAAGGAAACTTCATTGATCATTTTTCGTATGTTTATTATTTTTGATATCTCGCTCTTCTCTTTCAATACATGTTGTTAGATGTTCTATAACAACTGGACCAGACCTTATTCGTCTTGGAATTGGATGTGTTGATATTGATGTGAAAATATTAGAGAATGTGTTGATATTAAAGTGAAAATATTGGAAGATGTGTCGATATTGATGTGAAAATATTAGATGATGTGTTGATTTGATGTGAAAATATTAGAAGATGTGTTGATATTAAGTGAAAATATTGGAAGATGTGTCGATATTGATGTGAAAATATTAGAGGATGTGTTGATATTAAAGTGAAAATATTAGAGGACGTGTCGATATTGATGTGAAAATATTGGAAGATGTGTCGATATTGATGTGAAAATATTAGAGGATGTGTTGATATTAAGTGAAAATATTGGAAAAAATTAAAATAAAATGATCCGCATCTCTTAATGTTAAGAATGTATATCTATTAAGTTTTTTGGAAATTTGACCATTCAAACATTTTGATATGATTGTCGTATTCCACCTAAAATTTGTAGACAGATAATGTAGCTCTCTAGGTTTTAACTTTATTCAATTGTTATTGAATTATGGCTATCAAATGGTGTTAGGAGTGGGAGAAACATATCCAATGAAATCATGTATAATTTCGTGTGTAAATAACACTAAAATTTGACATTTTTTCTTCAGTGTTCCCTTGTCTTCATGTAGAGTGAATGAGGCAATTTATTCGCCCGCCATTGTTTGACAGTTTGTATTTTCTAGAGTAAACGACAATGACACAACGGACAGAAAACCCTGCAGTTGCTGCAATTCCAATTTCCGTTACCAGCTATCCCGGCTCATGCAAATAAAGATCTGCCTCCACGGATGGCTAGCTACGGCATTCCCGCTGATTTCTCAAAGCTTAGCGGAACCCATCTACAACACGCCGACAGTCTGGACAGGGCGACCGGATGAACTGCAGATCATTCCGTGGCCGATGAGGTAGTCAGACAGTCAACATATACTTCTGCGAGATTGTGGTCGCCCGAACTCGTCTAGGACGTTCGGTGCGCGTACAATCCTGAGATTGTACGCGACCGTTCAACTGTGTCGACGGTTGCAATGAATGGAAGACAAGGCTGGCGTAGCAACACAGAAACTATAAGAACATAAAAGGCTTTCTCTCACACTCATGAATGGGGAAAACGGGAAGTTGACCTGTAAATCAAAGTAACGTCTTCATATAACAAACGATTTTATTTTTGAGCTGATAGAAAGTGGCCAGTTGTAAATATATTTCAAGGTCTTTTATACGTCTTAACAAACACTGTTTTTAAATTCGATGACGAGGAACCCACTTTGAGAGTAATAATGGCTGGAGACGGCTTGAATGGGTAATGAAGAAAAACTTTAATATAAGTTTAACATAACAGCAAAATGATGTCAAAACCTTGTCGAAAAGTTGTACATTTGTTGTTATGTTAAACTTATATTAAATTTTTTCTTCATTACCCATTCAAGCCGTCTCCAACCATTATTAAACACTGTTTTTATCATTCAACGAATGTATTATATCCCGACATGTTAATAGCTAGAAAGGGAACCCTTTTTAAAGGATTTATTTATTGTTTTATATCGATTTTGGCATAAAGTGGACTTTTCATGTATAGTTATTCTTTATTTATGTAACGTTGTTGTATTTAACGTTGGCCAGGTTTTTTTGGTTATTATACTTAGTACTCCCAAATGTAATAGGTATAAACAAATATACACACACAAATTTAAACTAAAAAAATGATATGAAGAATAAGATAATGAAAAAAAACAAGGATTTTAAGATGATGGAAGACGGCTTCATCAAATAATTATGTATAAGCTTTCAAATAAATGAATGTTAGAGAATAAAAATGTCCCACTTGGCGTTTCTGAGAAATCACATGATAAAACTACGCCTTTTTTTTGTAACAAATATATATATAATTACCATATTCCTGTATTTAGCGTACTGGGAATATTAAATCAGAAGTTTATCAACGTCAGAGTACACAAAGATAGAATATTTGCCCCCCAGTGGCACAGCGGTATGTCTGCGGACTTACAACGTTAGAATCCGGGTTTCGATACCCGTGGTGGGCAGAGCACAGATAGCCCATTGTGTATTTTTGTGCTTAATTACAAACAAACAAACAATAGAATATTTTTGGTGTGCATAATATTATCACATGTGTCTGCCTTTTTTTTATAAATGTATCTTGGTATTTTAAGAAAGCGATTGAGCACGCAGTCAGTTTTCTGTTATTTATATCTGCCTTTTACATAAAAAAGTTATTTTCCCAATAACGGTGAATGTCATAAAACGGTTACTTAGCTACTTCTCAACCGTTTCCTTAATTTTCTCATGACAATTTTTCATTTAGGTTGGTCTCAAACGCGTGTTTTTGTTAAATACAAAATCGAAGCAACAGCATGAAAGAACCTATCTTCGCCTCCGCTTTGTTAGTATGGAGGAACAACCTAACTAGTCGGCAAAGGAAATACAGAAAGAACTCCTACGCCTTTCGTGTCTGCAGAGAATAGCAAAGCAAGCCGGGAGGAAAATGCTATTTCTTATTTATGGGCGCACAACATTTGTTGTGCATTCTAACGAGTAATGCTATTACGCCACAAGGCTATTCTGCAATAACACAATTTGCCAACTTCTAGGCCGGGCGACCGGGAAAGGCCAAGTCTCTTATTAGGAGTTCTGTTCACGTTCCAGAAGGCATCTAAAAAGGTACGCAAAGTGCCGCACAATATCGAACTTGCTGCATGAAACTTCTTCCCCCCCCAAGAGTGGTCAGCTTTTATTCCATGAAGAAATGTCTGAACTTGATTTCTTTGTTTTCCAGAGGGAGAAGTAGCTACGGTGAAAATATCCAATTATTATTCTAATTTAATTATAATCATATACATTTGTACAGTAAATTAAGTGACTTTTTACGAACAAATAACATATATATATGTGCAAGCACGCTTATGGATTTTTAGTTTCACTACCACTATAAAAAAAATCAAAGAAGGCCATTGTACAAAAGTATGTTAGCTCCAAAAAAGACAATTATTTAAACATTGATTCACATATTAAATTAACACAGATATTCCGCGTTTTCTAGGGGATTGTTGAACGCTAAAAGACAATCATTTAAACATTGATTCACATATTAAGTTAACTCAGATATTCCGCGTTTTCTAGGGGATTGTTGAGCGCTAAAAGACAATCATTTAAACATTGGTTCACATATTAAGTTAACACAGATATTCCGCGTTTTCTAGGAGATTGTTGAGCGCTAAAAGACAATTATTTAAACATTGGTTCACATATTAAGTTAACACAGATATTCCGCGTTTTCTAGGAGATTGTTGAGCGCTAACGTAATGAAGTTTTAATCAGTTAATCTTAGTGTATCTATGATATAATGTTTGAATGGTGACGATGTATATTTAGGCAAAGAAAGTGGCTCGATAATTAATATAGCTTCTCTCCCGGAGCTTAATACGTTCTTTATTATACTCAGTCCGTATACTAGTTTCCAGATAGTTTTCAGATACTGATCTTGCAAAAATAGGGCTAGAAAATAACAAATTATCCATATAGTCAAGTTTTAAAATACGTCGCGTTTTAACATTTTTATTTGTTGATGCTCTCCACCAGTGAGGATCTGAAGACCTATCTTGGGTAATTTTACGTCCAGTAGAATTAGTAGGAAATCAATTCTGATTTTAAAGTCCGTTCTTATATTGCAGCAAAGCCGTATATAAAATCACTTACTTATGTGACATTAGACTAAACATATATAACCAATAAAACTCAAACGAACAACGTTAGCATATTTCGTAACAATAACGTTAACTTTTATTAAATTGAACAAAAAAGTCCACGATGCAATAACTCGGATGAAAAGAGCTGAATGTTGAAAAACGAAATAAACTGTATAAATTATACTACGTTTTAAATATGGATCTGTGTTCGTTACGTGGTTAAAAACAAAATAATCAAAGTAATACTTTGTTTATTGTAACTTTTATCATATCTTTATATCATTACATTGTCTTTAACATTTAGTTACTTTTTGTTGGTTCATTCAATAAAAAAATCACGCCAATCTAGCCAACCGACTATATATATATATTGCACATTTGTTTTAGAAATGTTAAGTTAGGCCGCCGTAGTGTCTATCGTAGCGTCCTCTTTATCAAATATTAACCCGCATTTTTGCTCAAACAGTTGTAGCTTACACTTGCATAGGGATTACGATTAATTTAAAATTGTGTAAATGAACAAACGGAGAAGTGAAACAGTACTTTTTAAACGTATGAACAATTCTACAAACGCTTTCTTTCTTATTTTATGCCCCCCAGTGGCACAGCGGTATGTCTGCGGACGAACATCGCTAGAATCCGGGTTTCGATACCCGTGGTGGGCAGAGCACAGATAGCCCATTGTGTAGCTTTGTGCTTCATTACAAACAAACAAACAAACATCGTAGTTTTTATTTCTTTTCTCTAGGTGACAAATTTGTCAAGAAACAGTTGTTTAAGACGATAATCACTACTTTAAACCGGGAATAGGCTTAACACGACGGAGTTATAATACAAAATTATTTCAACATGCAAAAAAGGGAAAAAGGTATCCATGTCTAATGCACTTTTTTTAAACACGTGAAATATTTAAGCATATAAAATGATGGAAAAACTTTGCAAAGAAAAAAATAAGTTTAATTTTTTATTAGGATATTCCAGAAACAACTAGAATGTTTTATAAACGATTTGGGCCTCAGTTGTTTGTTTGTTTGTAATTAACCACAAAGCTACACAATGGGCTATCTGTGCTCTGCCCACCACGTGTATCAAAACCCGGATTCTAGCGTTGTAAATCAAGCAGACATACCGCTGTGCCACTGGGGGGCCTGGGCCTCAGTAGAAGAGCAAAGAGCCTTCTTTTATGTCTTATGAAGTTAAATACTTAAGGCCTGGACTGGTCAAAGATTAAGTATTTATTTAGTATTACACATATATATATATATATATATGTATATGTGTGTGTGTGTGTATGTGTGTGAAACTAAATATATAAGTATATAGATATGTATATATATACTTGAACTTCAGTTAGTGCTTGATTGAACTAAAAATTTAAAATCTACTTTGAAAATATCATAAGTTATATGAAGCACAAACCTCCAGTTTCTTCATCTCCTTTCCTTTTATTCAAGTTGGTATTGGGATTTGCGTTTGGGATTCCCAGTATTCCGCTAATGGAGTAAGACGGCCGTAAGAGAGGCTGTCCCGCTTCATGGGGTGTAGGAGGCGCATGCGTGATGACAGATGTGGTGTTAGCAGGTGCCTGTTGGTGTGAGTTTCCACCATTCATTGTATGCTTCGCCTTTTCTGCTGCCTTGTTTCTTACGATCCTGTATATAAAAATAGTGACAACATCCTAAAACCAATAATTCAAAACAAATAACTAAGTAAACAGCCTCTATGTATATTTCTATAGAACCTTTGTAATGACAAATAACCACTAATATGACAGAGAAGCCTCAGGAGAGGGATACTGTAAGCTCACTTTAATGTAAGAGCAAATTTCTCAGATGTTCTGTGCTTTCGTTTGCTTGTTTTACAATTTTCGCACCAAGTTATACAAAGGCTATCTGCGGTGTACATCGCGAGGAATCGAATTCCGAATTTTAGCGTTGTAATTCTTTAAACTTACCGCTGTCCCTCTGCACATAGCCATTCCTAATTTTGAAATCATAGACTAGAGGGAAGGCAGCTAATGAACAGCACTCATCCCCAAACTCTTGGTCTACTCTTGTGTCTGACCAAATAGTCCCAACGTTTTGAGGACGTTTTTGTGGTAATGGAAACTCTCGTATTCACAGTCCGGGCACGCTAACCATTTGTCCACGCCCGGCTCATGTTCTATAGATAAAATTAAAATTTAATAGTACGTTTTGTTCTCTATTTTGTTACGACCACAAATAATAATTCCACATAACAAGCTCTTGAGCACTAGAAACACAACGTAACTATGAAACAGTAATAAAAAATTGCAGATACATGCATGCATTTACTTGATATACATATATCTGTCGTGTTCTCATTATGCTTTAAAACTCGTGCGTGTCGCGTTCTTCGTCCTTTCGTGTATGGCGTGCGTTTAATGACTGGAATGTTTCTACAAGCCTACAAAAGCTATGTAACAGAAGTACAAGGAACAAGAAAGCCGCGACCCACACACCCTCTTTAATTTCCTAAATAACTTTTGTGATGACGACCATACGATGCTTCCAGGTGTGTGTGTGTGTGTGTACTAATATATATCGCTAAGTATTTTTCACTAAATGGTATTGGTTTTCTTAGACTTTTATAGAAGCAACGAGTGACCAAACCTTTTTAGAAAAGAGGACACTTTATTTAGCCCTCTTGCAAAAAAAAAAAGAAAAAGTTATTTGGTTTGTTTAAGAAACATACCAAGAGTATTTTCGATAATAAAACAAAAGGTTTGTTTGTTTGTAGTCAAGCACAAAGCTACACCACGGATATCGAAACCTGGTTTCTAGCATTGTAAGTTCGCAGACATACCCTTCTGCCACCAGGGAGCTAATAAAACAAAGCAGTTAAATAAACAAACAAATTCTTCTTTTTTATCAGAGGACCAGTTTAGATATTACATTTTCTTACATCATTTATCTGTCTTTTAATCGTAATCATAAGTTTGAAAGAACTATTTCCAAAATTACAATTCGCATCATTTTATTATCTTGTAATCGCGTTCATTAGCCTTTAGGAAACAAATTCAAAACTACAGTCTCATAGTTTTATTCATGGCCAGGTGGTTAGGGTGCTCGACTCGCAATCTGAGGGTCGCGGGTTCGAATCCCCGTCACACCAAACATGCTCGCCCTTTCAGCCGTGGGGGCGTTATAATGTGACGGTCAATCCCACTATTCGTTGGTAAAAGAGTAGCCCAAGAGTTGGCGGTGGGTGGTGATGACTAGCTGCCTTCCTTCTAGTCTTACACTGCTAAATTAGGGACGGCTAGCGCAGATAGCCCTGGTGTAGCTTTGCGCGAAATTCAAAACAAACAAACAAACATATTTTATTATCTTTTATTTGAAATTGTAAGTTTTTTTTTAGGATATTCACTGCGTTTCAAGAGCAATTGCGATTAACATATCAGTTGTTTTGAAATGAAGTATCTTAAAGAACTATAAAAAACATTGCTTGTGTAATGTTATTACGCCGACATCTATAGTATATATAAAAGGGATCTCTAGATGTGTATGTCGTTTTTACGCTTTTCTATATAGCCCATATATATATACTAAGTGGTTTTACATCCAGTGGTTCGGCAGTAAGTCTGAAGGCTTATAACACTAAAAATTTGGATTTGATACCTGTGGTGGGCACAGCCCAGATAGCCCATCGTTTAGCTTTGATCTTAACAACTAAACAAACTAATTATCTAAGTGGTATAGTTATCTAAGTATAAGTATAGAAATGTTCTACTTTGTGTTATTCTTTACGCTGGCCTCAAGGTCAGAACGCTCAATTCGGCGGTTGCGGGTTCGAATCCTATTACAGAACATGATTGCCCTTTCAACCTAGGGGCGTTATAATGTGACGGTCAGTCTCACTATTCATTCGTGGTAGCCAAAGAGTTGGCGGTTGGTGGTGTTGACGAGCTACCTCTTCTCTAGTTTATCACCTCTAATTTAGGGACAGTTAGACCAAGTAGCTTTGCGCGAAATTGTTTGTTTGTTTGTTTTTAATTATGCACAAAGCTACACAAGGGCTATCTGTGCTCTGCCCACCACGGGTATCGAAACCCGGATTCTAGCGTTGTAAGTCCGCAGACATACCGCTGTGACACTGGGGGGCTGCGCGAAATTGAAGAAACAATCTCAGACTATATTATAATATTCAGATTCAAAAGTGTGCACTATTGCCGTCGAAAGAATATTTGACTAGATTTCGGTTAAATTAGTTGTAACTATGTTTATAAACTGATCTCTCTTCAAACCATTGTATAGGAAAAACTTGAGGCAGTTTTCATGTATGTAAGAATGCTTGAAAAACAAATATTATATATATTTTCAATACATATAACTATTTTTTAAAAAGTCAGATTTGTACGCAACATACAGTATAGGATGAAATTAAAGCTTTCAGGTTTAATACTTCAGAAAGCATCTAATTTGTACGAGAACTTTAAAACTGGTGCCTCCTGGTAATTTCCTGACCCACTTTGTTATTTCAAAACCATAGCATTTTAAACTAAACCACGAATACACATTGTTTAAATTGCAAAAGAGAGATTTGGTTGTTTTTGTTAAGCCCAAAGTTACACCATGGGCTATCTGTGATGTGCCCACTGCAAGTATCGAAACCCGATTGTTACAGTTACCAGCCTTCAGACTTGCCGCTAAGCCACCGGTGGGAGGGCTCAAATAGGAGTAAGCTTTCAAAATATATTTGCAACGAAGACGACAAACAACTTCAGATAAATGTGTGTTTTTTTATTCGACCGGACATTTCGGCTTACGCCTTTTTTCAAGGGTATATGAACGCCACAGATTACAAAACTGATTTTAAGTAAATATAATAAATATATATATATATTATATTCAGAACATAGTTTGTGGCACTAACAAGGGAACTATTTCGTTATGTTGACTTCTCTTTGGAAGTTTTGGCGTTTCTAATAACAGTGGCAGGGCTTCAACAAGGATACAACAGGTAATAGGTACGTTATTTACGCGTATAGAGATTTTACGTATTAGCTTTTACTTCGCGTTGATAACTGGAAGACCTACAAATGTAACTTATTGTCGATAACAAATGAAAGATGCTTCAGAGGATGAGATGTTTTAAATGAAACTAATAACATTGTTTTCCATAGTAGTTTATTTCCTGATGTTTTTATAACGCATATTACAAATAGTGGCTCTTTTTTTACCGGTTGGAAATTCGAGTCCAAAGTGGATGGTGGAATGGGTTGTTGTTTTTAACAGAAGTGTAATTAGTGACTATTTATACAGTATCAATAGTAGGACTTGGAATAACGCTAAAACCTTTGAATGTTCCCAGGGTTTCTTACACTTCTTTAGAATGACCTTAACTACGACAGCTGCTTAGTATATTACACATGAAGCTTTAATTTGCTGATTAATTTAATATTACTTGAACGGCAACCCATGACATTATTCAAATTGAAATAATTGTTGTTTTTACGTTATATTGTATCTGAAATATTACTTATATTTTAAATCTGCAGTGCATCATTACGTAACTGATTGTTGTTTAATACATATATTATTCGTGTAAAAGTTTAGTCACAATGAAATACTTGTATTCAACAGAAAGTATCTATCTATCTATACCATCTACTGGTAGCTCAGCAGTAAGTTTTAGAGCTTATAACACTAAAGTTCGGGGTTCGATTCCCTGAGATGGGCACAATGCACATAGTCCATTATGTAGCTTTGAGCTTTAAATAAAGAAACAAAGTATCTTTGTATCATTCTGCCCAGAGGAACTGGTATCTATCTGTTAATACTTCTGAATGAGATTTCCCCAACTGCATTTAGCTAAGTGACGTTCTTTGTCTCATACAGCCTATTGAACACGAGAAAGGCCAAACCTATACCACTTCGCGTGTTTGACCAATTGAGTAAATTCGTTATCAACATAATGTAATGAAATGGCGACTAAGGGATCCAACGAGTGAAAAGCAGGTCGCAATGAAAAGGATAAAACTTTGTCGATGGTAAAACATGTCGGTGATGGGTTCTCGATAGATTATATGATCACAGTTAATTGGTCACTTCTGATTATACTCATTTACAGAAAGAGACAACGCTATAGTTACCGTTACATAAACGGTGTATAAATGCATATATATTTGTACATATCTTATTTAATCCGTCACTGTTGTTCACGCTGAATCACAACACAGATAGAATGCGTTCAGGAGATACACTTATATTCATAAACAAAGAAATTATTTCCAAAATATTCCACCTACATTATACTACGCAGCTCGTGATGACTAAGTTTAATGACTCCGTTACTTTAGGTAGTTCTTCTTCGTTTCAAAAGATATGTTTCCAATAACAAGTAACTATTCCACTTTTTGTCGGATTCTATTCAATATAGATCTTACGATGAACTGTTAATTTTCTTTATTAGGCTTGCAACTAGTTATCGGCACTTTTTTTTTGTCGGATTCTCTTCAATAGAGATCTTGCGATGAACTGTTAATTTTCTTTATTAGACTTGCAGTTATCGGCAAGATATTTCTAGAAATTTGATTTAGCATAGGTTGATAAAATTCTAAAACTCCACGAAAAGGAATCTTACAGTTATTACTTCTTCTGTCAAATAGGCAAGCTTTACTTTCTGATTT